TCCTATTAGATCTAATTCTTAGTTTATTACTTACCATGGATTGGAAAATTGTTTATTGTAATCTCTCTCCTTATTCTAATCAGTCCTATTAGAATTATTCAATAATTTCATTTTTATTTTATTAAATAATTAGAATCATAATTTTCATTTCTATTTATTTTAAGCCCTAAATTATTAAATAATCCTTGGAACATTGGTGAAGTAGAGGTTGGTTTAGTCGGGCATATGTGGGGTGCTTAACACCTTTCCACACTGCACCTTAGTCCTCGGACCCCAAGAATCTCTAATTGCAATCGAGCCAACAAGTCACCAAGAAAAAAAAATCTATTGTTCTTATAAAAATCCTAGGTTTTCCTAAATTGCCACTTCTCAAAAAATTTAAGTGACAACTCCATCGTTCCTCTGGTTTAGTAGCCACAAAAAAGATAGTAACATTGCTTAGATAGATCGGAACTCCAACGTGCTCTACTCAACCAAACTCAATAGGGCTTAACCCAAACCATGTAAGATAGCCTACATTACTCTTGTTTTGACAGTCTATCTAGGGAATTAACAAGAGAACTCAATTTATGTGATTTGTCTTGGAATACCCATCTCCACTCACACCATCCTTAAGAATTAATAAGAGATCCCTTACGTCTTAGTAACAAATGGTAAATGTTAGCTACAATAGTTAAAATGGAAACATTGCTCACTTACTTCTCATTTCGAGAGTTGGGTGGTTGTGGATGGGAATCAAGCCATGTCTTTACTAAATTAGACATAACGGAGAAGATAAGAGAGATTTTTTTTTCCCTTAGAACTAACAATACTCCTCAATGTTTTCCAAAACAATTTAGAGGATGTAACTTTAGGAATCTTCTCCTACCAAGTTTAAATAATCCTTATATATTTGTAGGGTGTAAAACTATGGTGGGGAGAAAATAACTTGTGTTTCTACTAGCTAAGCTTGATAGAAAGTCTACATCTGGATACATCTTTATGATGGGGTCCTGTGCAGTTAATTGGAAGAGCAACAAACAAAGGTCCACAACAGGTTCCAGGACTGAGGCCGAGTACATATTGCCGCAAGTGATGCTGCCAAGGAAGCAATTTAGATGAAAAAATTCATCCAAAAATTAGAAGTTGCACCATCCAGTATATCACCCATTCCATTGTTGTGTGACAACACTGGAGTTATTGCTCAGGCTAAGGATCCAAGAGCCCACTCAAAGTCAAAGCACATCGATATGAAGTATTACATTTTATGGGAGATTATTGGTAGATAAGACATCTAGATTCAAAAGGTAGCATCAACAGAAAATGTGGTAGACCCATTGGCTAAACTACTGACACAGAAAGCATTTGAGAAATACATGGATAGTATAGGACTAAGGCTTATACCCGATTGAACCCAAGTGCAAGTGAGAGCTGTTAGACAGTATGTGCCTTTAGCTCCAATCGGATGTACATGAACACTTATTTGTAAATAAATAAGTACATTATTGTTTCATGTTGATATTAGTATGTTTTCTGTGAATTACCCCTTAAACTAAACGCTTATGAGACTCATGCTAGTTTAGAATGTTCTTAGCTGTTGAATAGACTTGGGGAATTTATCTTGCCAAGCCTGACACTTGTGTGCTAACAAACAGTTTTTAGAAAAAACTCCGACCCGAACCGATTTCTAGTTATGCCTTGGGCCTTGGAGATAGGTGGGCAAAACTAGAAAGTTACACATAACCCCAAATTTGATTATGGTACTATACTAGGTGTTTGGACTAGGTTGTCTTTGATGTGTCAATCAGTGAGATTCATCAAGGGTCAACACTTGGGCATGCTAGGGCAATTTGGGAATTCACCTAAGTGGGTGATCATAGTGGTAGGATTGGCCCATTTGTCGGACAAAGTGAATATTAGGGTTTACACTCTCTTTGATGAAAACCTAAACTGTCGGCAATAGATTTCAACTGAATATAAAATCTGTTTTTGTAAAATGTATTTATATGTTATATACTACTATTTTATGAAAAATGTTTGCAAAAGGTTTTAATCCTATGATCCTTCTAACCAGCACTACACCTTGCAGCCAGGGGAAATGTCCTTCCTTGTCGGGTAATGTTGTGATCATTATGGGCTAAGAGGTTAAGTGTAAGAGGCCATTATAGGGATGATTAACTTATGAGCTTTATCTCACTTAAGTCCATTATCCTTGGGTCTTCATAGGGTGGCTGAATCCAAAGATCATTTAAGTGTAAATGTTGGGCCTAAACTGAGCTCATGTTGATTGGCTCAGGGGTTCATTGCTCTGAACAGTGAATTCAGCCTAACCTCTTATGGAGGTGGGGCAGGACCCTTATGGACTTGAGAGAGACCTTTGTGGGGTCCCACACCATACAATATCATGTCTAAAGTGACCATGCAACACCTAGGGTCATGAGCCTTTGAAGAAAATGGGCCAAAAGCCCAATATTAATAAGATTAATTAAGCTATCATATGATAACTTAAGTTGTCATGTGATTTGGATCAAATCTGGGTTTGGTACTGGGTATGGAGCACTTGTCCTCTCAAGATGATAATGTTTAATTGTTAAAAGAGTCAAGATCTAATTCAGATATGGATAATCTCCTAATTAGATTAGGAGTGTGATCCATTATGAGATAAAAAGAGAAGAGGGTTATTGAGTTTGATCTCTTGTCTCCTAAGAAACCCTACAATGACTTAGGCTTTCAAGAACTGATTTTGATCATTTTTTTTTTCATTCTTTTTGCAAGAAAAACTTAGAAGAATTTCAGGCTCAATTATCCCACTCGATCCAAACAAGTTGGATAACAAATTTGCTGAAAACAAGTGTTACTGAGTCGGTTCTCTGTATACTGCACCATCTTTAGTTGTAGAACGGTTTTGGGACTGATATTGGGCACGAACTACCACCTTGGGAGCTATGATTTTTTGTCTCCATATCAGGCATAATCTCCCTTCTCTTTGGTTTCAAATATGATTCGGTTCAATGCAATAACAAACCTAAAATTTCATATTTTAATTTACCAAGAAATTGGTTCTCGATAAAGTTAGAAAAATTTCTGAAATTTTGGCCAACCATCTTGCATAGTTCATTCATCCATCTTATGGATTCTAACCCTACTCCAACATTTAAATCACGTCTTTTTAGTTGAAAGGCGCTAGGTGCAATATAGTATCAATGTGTATTAGCTTGATACAATTCAATATGTGTGGATACAGCCCTGCATCTAATCGATACACATGACTCAAGGGATATGTCCTTCTTTGTAACATATCCTATAGTGGTAATATATCTTATATTCGTATCGGTATTTTAATCCTTGATTGGTGGAAGATAGTTTTGAAGAGCCCTTAAAATTGGTTATTATGAGGGGCAAAATAGTCAATGCAAAATACTTTATTAGCATACTGTTGAGTAGTACAAAGATATTTGAATCCTTGACGGCTTTGCCCATAAAAAGAAAGAGAGTATTCAAATCACGCTATTCGCGTTTTTTAATAGGAAGGTGGCAGGTGCGGTATAGTGTCGGCCCAATACATTGCGATACACATGGATACAGCTCACTATCTATTCAATACACACGACTTAAGAGATGCACCGTTATTCGTACCGTACCTTGCATCCATATCATGCGATACCGATACTGATATCGGACATATCATATAGAGTGGGAGAAGATAGAGCTTCGAAGAGCCACAAAAAAGAGAAATTCTTTACGCAAGTTGGAAAAGAGAAATCGTCTTCTCTCGGGTAAACAATGCACCCAAAAAATGTGGGACCCACTGTTTACGATTGCGGAATGCGGGGAACTTGATGAATTACGTAAATGACCAACTTAAAGATTTGGTTAAGCATCTTAATATAGTAGGTTTATCCATAAAAAACAAAGCAATTGCTCCTTGTTATGTTAATGCAATTAAAACATAAATACAAAAAACAAAAAAAGGTTGAATTATATAGAGACTTGTTATGAAAGTTTTCTTGTACTCCAAGAAAAAAAAATCAAGGAGTAATGAATGAGGCTTACATTCAGCTACGAGATTGTAAACGCCCTAATTGCCTTTCACCTATCAAACAAAAAAAAAAAAAACAAAGAAACAAGAGCTGAATCAAGGATACGAGATTGTAATCGCCCTAATTGTCTTTCACCTATCAAACAAGATAATATCATCAACTACTCTAAGTTATGAGCTTGGGCCTTGGGGGGGTAGTGATGATTCTTATGTGATGTCTTATGCCATTCTTTTCCTTTATTAGCATATTATTGAGACTGCTGATAATAATTTTCTTGAACAGAATAATCTTTACAATAAATCAAGGAAAACACAAAAAAATTGAAAACCATTGCTGTTTCTGGTGTTAGATATATTCCAAGAAAAGACAACGCTTAAATATTGAAAATAATAACGAATTGATCGAGTTTCTAGAAATGTGACCCAAAAGGGTTTGGATGAAGATGCTGGATTAGGTTTGCTTTTTGGTTGCGTTTATACTTTTTCCTTCAGCTTTTTAAACTATGACACCCTTTATTTTTTATGAAGAAATAAAATGCATTCTTTTACAGTGTTTAACTGCACCTAAGATTATTGTGGAAAATAAATATTTTTGCACTAAATAACAACGTAATTTATTTTTTACTGAACATCATCTTCCAAGAAAATCAGTTGTTTTCCTTCAATTTACATGCATCCAAATCTGTCTGCCTTGATTTAAATGATAATGTTTTCTATTTTTTGTACAAAACACGTGTCAAACTAATGGGGATTGTTCTTGTTTTTTTATAGAGAGAGAGAGAGAGAGAGAGAGAGGGAGGCGTATAACAATGGGAAACTGGAACTGATCCAACTGGGTAAGAACAAAATAGATAGACATACAGTTTCCTGAAATAATTATAGTGGCGCAGTGGCAACCTGGTAATTTATTAGAAAAGTAGGCACATTTTTATTATTTTTTCCTTTTAAAGCCCCTGACACACAACCTCCTCTAATCACCTCTCTCTCTCTCTCTAGTTCATAGCTTCACATGGCGGAGCTTTTCATTGCTGTGATCTTAGTCCTCTGCGTTTTGGTACTGTCATGGGCCTGGAGTGTGCTGTATTCAATATGGTGGAGGCCCATGAAGTTGGAGAAATGCTTCAGGGAACAGGGAATCGAAGGCCCTCCACGCATATGGCTTCATGGGAACCTGAAAGACGAGGTGAGGATGAGGAATGAAGCTTTGTCCAAGCCCATGAATCTCTCCCACGACATCGCGCCACGTGTTGTTCCCTTTGTTCATCAGACCATAGAGAAGTATGGTAAGTGTTACAATTTCAGATCGTTTGGTTGGTTTTACTTTGTCCAGTTTACTTAAATTTATCTTATATTTTTATTATTTTACTTTTTTTAATTTGTAATGGTTTCGATCCTGGAATGCTAGATGGACGGTCCTTTGTTATTCAAAATTTCCTTTACTACATACAAATTTAACATCTTAGGTTAAAGATTCCAATCCAATGGCTAAAGTGCATGGATTACTTGCCTTGTTTCTAGACCCCATGGATTATTTGCTTTTTAATTTTTTTTTTTCTGTTTCTTTCATTCATTCATCCATCCATTCATTTATTATTTCTTTCTTTCTCTTATTTTTTGTATGTATATATGTATGGTAATGCTGCTTTGACATTAATAGGAATAAGGTGCTGTTTGGTAGACCTTGGGACTAGGGAGTGTTTCTTAATGCGGAATTTGTTCTTCGTTACATAAGTGCCTTTTTGTTTTCAAATTGAAACCAAAGCATGTGTTCTTGGAATTCAGATCTGCGCCTCAAAATATTCCACAATACATCCCACTGTGTATTAAAAATATTTCTCAATAATAATAATATCATCATCAGGAAGACGTTGTGGGCACAGATGTGAACTCGTGTTCTTGAATTTTTGGTATGATCATTTAATATCAAGTTCATTTGATCATTTAAGATATGGGTAGAAGGGATGCATGTGGGGACCATTGCCATACATACCTATCCACCTCCTTTAAAAGGGAATTTATTTTCGCTCTTGATTTAACAAGCACTGAACTAAGGGACACATAATCAGGTTGAGCGTCAGCATTAAAAAAAAAAAAAGAATTTCAAGCCTTGATACAATGTTGATTACGTGTCCATTTGTGGCCAACAGCCTTTCCTACTGAGAGAGTTTTGTTCACCGATTCACAGGCACTTTTTTGTTTTTACTCAAAATAAATCAATAAGCAATTATCAATTTGTCCACTCTCATGGTAACATGCCCAACCCAAAAATTCTCTCAACAGTTAAAGCTGCTGGTCCCCAACAGCTTCCTTTGTGGGATGCTGAAAGGAACATCATGGGGCTACACAACAGAGGGTAGCCCAACCCCTGGTGGCAGCGAGATTTGATCCTAGGTCTCTACTCCGACGAGTCAGAGAACCTACCAACTGAGCCACCATCAGTTGGCTAAATTGCTTTTTTATTAGGCTTCATAAAACAATTAAAATTGCCTTGTTAGGCTTCGTAAAAATAGAATCAACTAAAATTGATTGATTTGGCCAATGGGGGGGGGGGGGGTAATTAAGTTCAAATTCCCTAATTTCCTCGCTTAACAGACTAACCAAGCTAAAACCTAGGAGAAGGTGATTCTAAAACCCGGGTGAAGGTGGGAGTATCAATACATCGTTAGGCTGTATTTGGATGCGATTTAAAATTTACATCGCTTTTGTATGCATCTGGTAAAATAGTGTAATTATTATCGACGTAAATCTACACTCTGCTTCAGTTTTACATGCGTTTGGATGGAGTCTAGTTTTACGTCAATGATAGATGTAAAACCTCATCACCTTTAAAGTTTTACATCGATAATCGATGTAAAAATTACATCAATTTTATCAATGTAAAACTTAAACACCTTTTTACATTGATTTCAAAATACAATGGTCATATATATTTACGGTTCAGTGTAAAGCATCATCAGTGTATTTTTACACTGATGACGTTTTACACCTCTTCCAAACACAGCCTTATGTATCGGCATATATGTATCTATACTTTAAGGGGATGTTTGGAACCGTGACCGTTTTTCAAAAAAATGATGCGACGTCAGATCCACATAGGAGTTTCAACAAATGCCCATGTATTTCATTGTTTGGTTCAGCCGATTATTAAAAAATTGGGCATGCCTTGAAAATCAGGACCCCACCGATGCATCAGTAAACCATTTCCCCCAACGGTTGAATGATGTGTATCCTATGTGGTACTTACCTATCAGAACATACACGAAAAATGGTGATAAAAATCACCTTAACAAACAGCATAGTATTGCTCATTGCCTACATGACAGAAACATTTTTTGTGAAAAACGAGTCTTAAAAACATGAACGTTTTTTCTTAAAAATCGATCCCAAAAAATGGCCACGCTTTCAAACACCATGTAAATCATACCTTTTGTTCTTCATTTTTTCAAGTTTCAGTTATATTAATTATTTAGAAAAAAGGCTTCCGAAAAATACCTATAAACATGTGTATAGGATTCGGAAACTAGAAAATACGAAACAATACAGTTGATATGAGGCATATCATATCAATAATTTGAACCTTGATAGGGGGGATATATAAGATATTTTAAGAGAGAGCAAGAGATATTGCAGGTTTATTGTCAAATTACCAAGCTAAAAAGGCTTTTCTGGTATATAATTGTGTCTTGTTGGTTAGACCCCATAAACCCGATCTATATATAGGGTCTCAGTTGAGAGTCTTGAGACCAAATCAGTGTATTTTCTTGTTGGATCAGAAATGGATCTACCCTGATTCAGCTCAAGATTCACCCGTTTACACCATTGCTTGATATGGAATATGTTCAAAGTATTCATATACTCGCGTTTTTCTTTTTCTTTTTTTTTTTTTGTTCTAATATCTTGTCATTGATTCATTGTATATGCCGTGTCATGTACAATCATTTAAAACAATTAAATTACGACACAATATTTTAAACTTTAATTGCATTATTGAGCGTGGTTGTATATATACAGTGCTGAATTCTTTTTTCATATATAGTTTTTGGTAGAAAAGTCCTATTTGGTTAGTTTGCATGAGCATTCAACTATTACTGATTTTTTAAATGCAGGGAATATGTCAGTAACATGGTTTGGAAGAACTCCCAGGATAAATGTTATGGACCCAGATTTAATAAAGGATATTCTTTCCAACAAATTTGGACAATTTGAAAAGCCCAAATCCAATCCACTCATCAGGTTGTTCGTAGATGGGCTTGTAAGCCACGAGGGAGAAAAGTGGGCCAAACATAGAAGGATCATCAACCCTGCATTCCATATAGAGAAGTTAAAGGTTTCTTTCTAATTCTCTTTCCTTATTTCTTATGAATCTATTTGATTAGCTGCAGCTAAAATTCAAGTTTTTTTTTAGTACTTGTTAACATGAAAAAGAGGAAATGTACCATAAATTTTACCCATAACCAAAGTTTAAAGAATGACCAAGAAATGGAACCGTTTTAGTGACTCAATGATTCAATCATTTGGGTCAAATAGGTCAACCTATGATATCATGAAAATGACTAAAAATATATAAAGAAAAAAGAAAGAAGGAAAGCTGGGTCACTAGGTCATTGATTCACTGGAGCCACATCAGATAAAGCAGTATTTTAGAAAACACCCTCTTGTTTGGTACTTCCAGAAAAAAACGCAGCTTGGAAATTGGAAAATTGTGGTCTGAAGCAATGCTAAATTCAATGTTTTCAGAGAAAATGATACGTTGCTGCCAGTAGTACAATGATGTGGCATCATCTTGGATGTTGGATAATATAGACCAATGCTGAAAACAATTCTACAGCATTGGTACCAAACAAAACCAGTGCGGTTTTCTCAAAAAACAACCTACGTGGCAGCATCGGTTCCAAACAAATAATAAGCACTACTACTCCATATGCCCAACACTAGGGCTTCTCACAAATAAATTCAAACCAACCAACCCGGCTTGACCCAACCCGATTTGGCCGGTTTTTCTTCACCACCGGTCAGTTTCGAGTTGGAAAGATGGGTGAACCGATAATTCAGTTCGGTTTTAGTTTTCACACATGAAAACCGAAACCGAATCGAGTTATCTATAAATATATTCTCACTGAAATATTATATATAATATGTATATTTTCGAAATATATATTTCAGTTTTAAATGTATTTCTAATAAATATATTCTCATTGAAATATTATATATAATATGTATATTTCAGTTTTAAATATATATATTTCTGAAATGTATATTTCAATTTTAAATATATTTCCAGAAAATATATTCTGAAATATAATATATAATTTGTATATTTCCGAAAAATATATATATATATATATATATATATATATATATATAAACCAAAACCGACAAAAACCGACCTAAACCAACCAGGTCGATTTTGCTTAATAGGGGGTCAGTTTCGGTTTAATCTTAAGGTAACCCGATCAGGTCAGGCCGGTTGAAAAAAAACTAGTAAACCGACCCAACCCAACCCGTGAACAGCCCTACCTAGCACCGTTTTTATGAGAAAATGGTGCGGTATTCCCAACACTGATACCAAACACCTAGTTAGTTGTTATTGTTGTGAGCTGGGGTAAATAAATCTAGAATCCTAAAAAACATTGCTTATAACTTGTCAAATTGCAACTTCTTAGGTTAGGGTGACATTCATAATGATATATTTCTTCCTTGGTGTTTGTAATAGAGGATGCTACCAGCATTTTATACAAGCTGTTTTGAGATGATTACAAAATGGGAGAAACTGGTTGCCTTGGAAGGTTCCTGTGAATTGGATATATGGCCTGAGCTCCAAAATTTAACTGGAGATGTCATTTCTAGGACAGCATTCGGTAGCAGTTATGATGAAGGCAGGAGAATATTTCAACTTCAAAATGAACAAGCTAAGATTGTTATGGATGTTGCCTTGTCCATATACATACCAGGTTACAGGTAAGACTAATGTTCCTATTGTGTTCAACTTATTCTAATTCAATAATCCAACTTCCTCAAGGTGTATATATATATATATATAACGTATGGACAATATGGTGTAAATTGATGGACACAAAATATGTTTTAAAATCCTTCTCTATTGGCCTCTATATTCAATAGTTTCATATCCATGTAATTGTTGTTTTCTTTCCTCTGATAATTGTATACTCTTTACTCCCCATCAACCTCTAGTTTTTGATTGATTGTGCTGTGAGGTATTTGCTTTTTCAATGGTTTTGATAAAGAATTATGAGGGTTTGTCTCTAAAAAATTTTAAAGTCATAATGATTTTTGGTGGTTAGAACAAAATATAATTGCACTAGATGTGCATTTTTGCATGGGAAACAGTGGATATGTTACAGCTCCAAGGTAGAAAATATAATTACTTTAATTATATATTGTAATCTTGTTTTGCAGATTGCTACCAACAAAAAGGAACAATAGGATGAAGGAAATTGACAGAGAAGTGAGAGGTCTACTGAGAAGAATCGTCAATAAGAGAGAGAAGGCTATAAAGCTAGGGGAGGCTAGTAAAGATGACTTACTAGGCTTACTTCTAGAATCCAATTTTAAGGAGATTCGAGAACATGGCAATGAAAAGAACATAGGCATGAACGTTGATGAAGTGATAGAGGAATGCAAACTATTTTACTTTGCAGGACAAGAGACAACATCAAATTTGCTTGTGTGGACCATGGTTGTATTGAGTATGCATCCAGAGTGGCAAATGCGTGCAAGGGAAGAAGTGTTGCAATCCTTTGGAAAAGATAAGCCGGATTTTGATGGGATAAACCATTTGAAAGTTGTAAGTATTTTCTCTATATTCACTTTAAAAAACTATTGCAAATATGCTTCAATATATGAATGACTCAAATGTTGATGCAATTTAAGGAGAATTCTTATATTTTCTGCTAATGTAGGTATCCATGATCCTGTATGAAGTTCTTAGATTATATCCACCAGCAGTTGCGCTTACTAGGCAGACTTACAAGAAGGTGAAATTAGGAGATGTCTATTTGCCTCCTAGAGTAGAACTCTCGTTGCCCACAATTCTCATCCATCACAGTAGAGAACTATGGGGCGAAGATGCGCAAGAATTTAAACCAGAGAGGTTTTTAGGAGGAGTTTCAAAGGCAGCAAATAATCAAGTCTCGTTCATCCCATTTGGTTGGGGTCCTCGGATATGCATAGGCCAAAACTTTGCCATGATAGAAGCAAAGATGGCATTGGCCTTGATTTTACAACATTTTTCATTTGAGCTCTCCCCCTCTTATGCTCATGCTCCTTGTACTATCATAACTCTTCAACCTCAATATGGGGCCCAAATCATCTTACATAAACTATGATATGTAGAGATAAAGAGAGTTAGCTGAGAGGGCTATTTCTATTTATTTACCTCTTGTTGTATTTTATTTTCTTCTTGTACACTATCTTCTCTTGTACTCTAAGGACAATTTGGTCTTTTTACTTTTTAATATAAATTTCTCTCTTAGGGTGTCGAGCTCCATATTGGACACACCTACAAACTTGTGGCTATCTCTTTCTCTTTTGGATTTATAGACCTAGACCAAACACTAACATGGTATCAGAGCAGGTCATGATTTGATCTACTGAGCTAGAGTATTCTCTCCCAAGGCAGTTTCGATCAGACCTTGACAGATCTGAAATCTAGAAGTCTATGCCATCAGCTTCATTTTTTATCTTCGATCTGCACTTGGAGACATTATATCTACTTGAAACTCTAGATCTAGTGTTGCCCAGAGGAGTTCTTGTGAACCTCTTAAGCCTGGTTGAAATTGGTTTGGTTTAAGAAGGGTTTTATCCTTCTCTTGGTTCAACATATTGTGATAGTTTCATTTTTTAGGCATTTGATCGAAAGGTACCTCTCTGTCATCATCTCTTCTTCGATTTTTGATATCAGTCTTGGAAATCAGCAATTTTCTTTATGATAATGGCTTCAGAAAGAGTAGATGTCCTTCCTGTTAAATTTAATGGATCGAATTATGACTTGTGGAAGTTTAACATCTAGTTTCATGTTGAGGCAAAGGGCCTTTGGGGCTATTTAGACAGAACTATACCTAAACCTGATGACTCAGATGTTAAGGCTTAGTGGAAAATCGACTATGCAAAAATTGCATCATGGATCATTGGATCTGTTGAGGCTGACATTGCCATTCCAATGTGAGGTTATAGACCAACTTATGAGATGTATGAGTATCTTGAGAAGGTATATCAGCAATAAAACACCTCTACGCAGTACCAAATTGAGGTCGATATTTTCTCATATTATTAGGGAGAGAGAAAGGTCCAGGAGTACTATGTAGGGTTTATTAACATCTAGGCAAAATATGAGTTAGTACACATGGGAAAGGATCCATCGGACTACTGTGCAAGGTATATGAACACTTTGACAGAAGAAAGGTTATGCATTTCCTAATGCATCTCAGGCCTAAGTTTGAAGTTGTCAGGTCTAATATCCTAAGTCGAGGAACACTTCCTGATTTGATACCACTCTTGAGGAAATTCTGAGAACTGAAACCAGATTTTCTACACAGACTACACTTGATGGGAGGAAAAACTCCAATATTGATGTTGTATTCTTGGCAAACAAATCAAAAGGGAAGAAGGATTTCTCCCGGATTTAGTGCTATTAAGAAGAAGGGTCTTATAAAGCCTATCAGACAACCATGGAGAACTCAGATGCCTCATTTACCATTACCTTAGTGATTTCACAGAATAATTCTTCTGGTGGTATTTCTGAAGATTAGATTTGACAGCTCATGTCCTCGGCTATCTCTTCCGCTTTCTCATCTATCAGCTTGTCTGGTAAGTCTTCTACTTTTTGTCCCTCATCAAACCATCTTTTGATTATAGACTCTGGTGCCTCTAATCACATGACGGGGGCCTTTGTTGGTTAGTTTCTTAAACCCCATCTTTTTAATAGACACATTGTCACTACAAATGGTGAAAAACTAGATATACTTGGTTGTGATGATTTACACCTATCTACCTCTAAATCATCTTACTTTCACCTACCCAAGACCTTATTTGTGCCCAAATTAACCACTAATTTGATTTCTATTGGTCAACTTGTGGAAGATGGTAATACTGTTTTGTTTTCCTCTAAGGCTCCATTTGGTTTGTGGGAAAATTTGGATGGGATGGGATGGGAAAGTGTAAAAATTTGCTCTTCCATTGTTTGGTTTTATATGTGGGAAAATAATGAGAAAAGCACTGTGACAAGAGGAAGGCGAAGACGATGAACAATGCTCTGTTTCACCAAGAGGAAGACGAACAGTAGTTCACTGGTGGAAAGCGAAGACGATGAATAGTGGGATGCTCTGTTTCACCAAGAGGAAGATGAATAGTATGAGCTTTTGATTGGGTTTATATTGGAAGAGCTGCTAAGGGATCAGGAGACGGATGAAGTGGGTGAAATCAAGGTGATTTTCCTTCATTTGGTCTTAAATATTTTTAATTTTGTAATATATATTTTGCAACAAAATTGACCTAAAGAGAATGGAAGCTTGAGATGAAGCAAGAGATCTGATCATTCCTATCGTGATTTGTCTATATTTTGGTTGTTTGGTTCTTGAAGGTGTTGTTGGAGAGATTGATAGATCTGAGTGGGAAAAATGGCTTAGAGATCTGAAAGTTGTTAAAATTTCAGCTGAAATATTGAGCCTGAGTTCGATAGACGTGTGGTAGAAGACACTACAAGGAAAAAGATTTTTAGCGACAGTCAAAACTGCCGCTAGAGACTTTACCGGCAGTCGGCAAACTTCCGCTAAAACAATTGTTGCTAAAGCATTCTAGCGGCAATTTTCGTGGCTGTCGGTATAAATTTTAAGCTGCTGCTAGAAGTCTTTTTAGCGATAGTCAGGAACTTCTTTAGTGGCAGTCGTAATCCAATTTTAAGTTGCTTCTAAGAATACTACCCAGAGTAAAGTCATCAAATCAAAATCCAATTTCATGCATTTGATTAAACAAACCCAATACCTCTTTGTTGAATTCACACTGTGTAAGTCCAATAATCATTGCATTCCATGTCGCGAGGTTTCTCTCAGGCACTTCTTCAAACAACTTCCAAGCAGTCTCCAAATCACCACTTTGTATAAACCCACCAATCAAAATGTTTGATGTTATGATGTTCTTCCTGTGCATTACATTGAATTTTTCAAATACCTCCTTCAACATTCCATTGCAAGTAAGCTCTATGAATTCATCTCTGGACTTGACAATACTTTTAGAAGTGTCTGTGGACAAAAGTTGGCAAATTGTGATGCATGGACCTTTATTATGTTGGGAAAATAAGCAGAGAAATCTTAGTAAAGGCTTGCTCATGCACTTTATGTGCCTTCCCTGGTAGTCAAATATATTCAAGAGAATGTTGCAATTAGGGACCCTTCATCAAAATACTAAATTAAAACAAGGTTTACATCAAGAAGAAGAAGAAGAAGAAGAAGAAGAAGAAGATTCTTTCTTACTCACCCACATCCTTCATAAATAAAATTGGTCTTCCATCTATATAATTTACAAATCAATGGGGAAAAAATTGTAGATTAGAAATGTATATCATAAAATATTTCAAGTAAAATGATATATATTAACAGATTGATAGCATAAAAATTATCTAAACAAAATTATCAAGTGAGGTTTCATTCATGAGGTGGTAATGGGGTGTGTTTCAGAAGAATCAGGGAAAAAATCTATGCAACATCTAAACATTATATAAATCAAAAAGACCAAAAGAGCAGTGATTGTACAATATAATAATCACTTTTTAGTGGACACCTAACCAAATTGATAGCTCCTAACAACAGAAACATGACTATTATTGAGATAGAAATCACTCTATACAATGTCATTTGTGAGATATATCAGTGCATTCTATTGCCCAATCATAGAAAATCCCTGCATTATCAATGAACCAAAATCAATGTTATCAATGAAAACAATAAAATAACATACTTACCAGTAGCATTAAATAACAAGTTGGAAGCATTGTAGGTGCCCACGTCAACTCAACATCATTTTCTTAGAGGTTAGATCTTTGGCTTCCAAAGAGAGTATCTTATACCGATGGATCACTCAATAAGCCATTTCCGCACATATAAGATGGCTAGGAAAGGAGTAGAGAAAGATGAGTTCCTCTAGGGACAACACCCACGGGGAAGGGGGATTGTTTTGATCACCATACTTTATCATTGACAATTCCATGCTTTTGCTAACCTCTAGTTTTAAGTTTCCAATCTAGATCCATCTCTGAGAAGCATAACTTCTTCTTTAGGAGAGTAGACTAGCATGAATTCAACTTTCAGATTCAGATTATTAATGTGGTAATTTAATATTATTTATGCCAAGTTTGAATATTAGGGTGGCATATACCACATTATTGATAATTCCATTTTTTTAGAATTCAGAAGAACTGACAAGTGGCAATATAAGCAGTGAATTTCAAGTGAGTGGATATTCTAAGGATTTTCATCCTCAACTCTAAAAGAACCTACTTGAATTATCAGTAATCATAGACGAAAACAACCCTCTGATTTTAATTCCACCCCTTCTTCAAAATGAGATTTTAATGTAGACAGTGAAAGATATTAAAAAATTCCTCACTTGACATGCTCAATGTTGTTTAAAAAGATTGACATGCTTAAACATCTCTCCACCACCAATTATTTGTACTATACTCTCATGAAAGGTTTCATATCCTAAAAAGAAAAATTCTTCTCTTGCTCCATATTATTCTTCTCTTGCTAATGTTAACAACAAGCCTTATCCATATACAGATGGTTTCCCTGTTAGTGATGAAAAAAAAATATTAACAAAGTCATACCAACTCTGTAGTTACTAACAAATTCGACTATAGTCCAATTCCCAATCATAAATGACTTCTGACAACCATACCAATAATTCTAAAGTCTTCACTTACACGGAGGTGACTGACTTTTGAGACATTTTAGTGACTGAGACATTTTGACACATGTAAGACGGGTGTGATTATGTATCCTAATGTTTCTCTAGTGGTTCTCTTTTGCCAAATAAATAAATAAATAACGAGTCTAATAGTGAATTAATGGTCCACAATCACTTTCAAATGCCTATGGCCCACAATCAGACTCTTTAATTTTTAACCCTATCCTAGCCATCAAGTGAACATGATCCACAACCACTATTCAATCATTCAGTTTGCATTTATGGCTAATGTAGGCTAGATATTTTTCATAACCATCTCTTGCGCAAACAAAGTTGTGCTTACCACTAAGGCTAGTTCTATCTAAAATGCGATTATTTGTGATAGTCCATCAACAACTTAATAAGACTAGAAAACTTGAAAATGAATCTAGCAAGCAAGGGATCATGACTAGTTCCAAACCCACCCAAAGTTGAGGATGATTAGAAATTTTACAAGGAAAGATGGCTGATCTATGATTCCTAGATATTGAAACTGGCACAAAAATGAGAAACAAGAAAATGACTCTTCATTTCCTAAAATCTAGATATCCATTTTATATGATTCT